GCTAGGACCATCCAATAAGTACCAGACATAAGGATTGTGATCAAATGTCAGAAGCAGACAATGCTGGACATGAGCAAAGGCAGATAATTTCTCCATATCACATTTTCTAGTGAATTAATTTGGCACCATTCCCAGACCTTTTTTATTCACTTTCAATGTTTAATTAAGTAGTCAAACTTTACTGGAACAACTCAGTGCAGAAAGCCAAGTTTTGTGAATATTCACAGAAAGAGTTTTTAATTCCGACAAATACTCATTCTTGTTGCAATGTCTTGTATGAGCTTTATGTGAACACTAACCAATAGCCAGCTCTGCTTAGTATGGTAAATAGATGTATCCAAAGAGCTTTGAGAAACAAAGACATTTTAAAAGAGTCTAAATTGTTTTTAATAAAACTGCAGAAATAAGACTGACTGCCAGCCTTTTAACAACAGAAAAAGATCATGTAATGGAGGGAACAACTCAGACACGAGTCACACCATCATTTGCCATTTTCTAAAACACAGGTCTTCCTCATATGAAAGAATCATAAATTCTGAGTTATTTTCACTCACTTTGATAATCTACCTTCAAGCTGAGGAGTCCTAGAGGAGACCTGTACAACATGTAGCCACAGACAACATACAGCCTCCAAAGCCATTGGCCTGGCATGCCGGCAGCCTGGGGAAGATATCTGATGCTTAGCCACCTGGAGATCCAGCCATACAGAAGAGACTTAGCTCCCGGATGGCCAGAGAACAAACATCTGCCACCGTCACATTCCATATCCAGCTGCCCACACCACATCCAAATATCTCTCAGAACAAGTAAGTTGAGAAAATAAGCAAGGGTGTTGGACACTGGAAAGTAGGAGAAGGGTAGAAGATATGAAACATATGGGGAATAAGTAAGGTAGAAGGTGAAAGGAGCAGGGACCGTTACACTGTGTGGGGCATCAGGGATGTTGCACTAGAGAAGGTGTTGATGGAGTGATGATTTGAGCGTCCCACACACACACTCGTATCAGATATCCCAGCTACTGACATAAAAAGAACTGAGAAAAACAGAACATCATCTGGCTTTATTTTAAACTGCCCCTATAAAAGGTATCAGAAAGCTTTCTCTGCAGCATGGCATCATGAGAGGTGAGTAAGACAGCCTAGAGTCTCCATCTCCCTTGGATTTCATAGTCCTTAACTCAAGAGTTTTCTAAACCTCAGCAAGTTTCACTTTTTTTTTTTTTCAATGTGTTTTTTACTTCAGACATGGGTAGCCCTGGAGAGATCCACAGTTATGGCACCAGCAACCTGAAGACCTCAAATGCCTAACTAAGACCAATAAAGTCCATGAGTCACAGTCTCAGGGGAACCAGAGCTACTTGGCACCCACCCAGAGAAGGTCAACTGGAGCATGGGAGACTATTTCTAAATAACCCAGAGCTTTGCCACTGGGAAAAATAAATAGAACTATGTATCTTGTTTCCACATCTTAGCTGGCTAAATAAATAGCTCTCATAGCACATTCTCCAGGGCAGACTCTTAAAGTGACCTTGGTCCTGCTGCTGCCCAGGACAGGAGAATGCGGGTGTACCCACAAGAGAAGTGATGCATTTTTGGTGCTGCGTTCCTGGCAGTTGATCAAAGGACAAGGGTAATCTCAGCCCCCACAGTTGCCAGCTGTTCCTTCCCAGCAACAAGGCAAATTGTGGTGGCACATGGTTATGAAGCAGAGAGAAGGTATCCAGAGCAAATACAAAGGGAGGATCAGAGGCTTCCTGGGAGGGCATTGGAGTTTTCCTCTGTAGGCAGGTTACAGATCAGTGTTCTCTTCAAGTTCCACAGTGATAGTCAAAAAGAAGCAGATGTTTTTGTGAACAACTGACTACACCAAAATAACTCACTCTGGATTTCAGCATACCTACAGCAACTTTGGGAAGAGCTACACCAGTGTCAGATGACCAGCAGCACATGCTGAACTTAGACAAAGCACATGACCCTTTTTTTTAGTCTTTCTCCTCAACAGAAAACTCATCTGTAAGCTTATTCTCCCTGTCAGACTACAATTGTTTAACTACAGAAGCTCAAAAAAAATAGAAGGACATTTCACAAGTACCCACCTCCATTGTCTGATGACTGTAAAGATGCTTTGGATTTTCAGACCATAGCTATCCCTGGCATTCACTAATGTTGGGACAGAAGATCTGTAACCCACCCTGCAGTCTGGAGTTCTGGTCTCAGGACATAAATTCTTGTCAGCACCATCTCTTAAAGCTGCTTTCCACAATAAGAGCAGAGTTTTCAAATAGACAGCAAGCAAGCACAGTCCCTACTAAAAAATAAGAAACTAGTGCCTTTAGATAGGTTGCAAGCATTTTCTAAAACAAAATAGGTTTGTGTGCTGCTTCCGATGTAAAACAGACTGTCTCCACTGAGCCGTTGACCTGCTCAGCTGTTCCTAGTTATTAAATGAAACAAGTGGCTTTGAGCCCCAGGCAAGCCAGATGAGTGGCTACCAGGCTTCAGCTGATTTATAGTTCTTGCTCGTTAAACCAACTGTAGGTGGGAGCCAAATCACCTTTTTCTGCGAGCTAGGTCCCAGGAAAGGTTTTATCCTCCATTTGTACACACATATAAATATGTTTTAAGGAAAGCACAAATGTTTTAGGGGAAAAAAAGGAAATTAGGAAACTGAACTAGCAATGAGGAAGCTCAGGTAGATAATAGCTAAAGTATAAGATGACTTTTTTTCAAGGGGGAAAATAAATCCAAGCGTTTCAGCAATAAAATGGCTTATTAACAATAAAACTGGACTTTTATTGAGGGAAATTTTGAGTTTGTATTTTCTGATGTGTGTGTGTGTGTGTCCCAAATGGAAAAAAGGGTCCACAGAAGGTTCAAAACAATTCTTGTACATCAGATAAAAGGAAGAAAAACCCAAATATTGCATGTTGACAATCTGGAATCATTGAAATCAAAGGAAGGGTGTTTCTCTGAAGGCTATTTCTTTCCCTTTCTGCTTAGAAGTGAGTATTCTAGACTACTTTACAGCCTACATTACAACCACCCTCAGCAGCACTAGATGCATTTCCAAATGAATCTCAGCAAAAAGCCAGGCTAGAAATGTGTGACAGATACCAAGTTTCCCACTTCCCTCAGAGGAAACAGCTAGTGGAAAAATCAGCTTTGCACAAAATTCATTTAAAAAGCCTTTATGTAGCCAGTCCCATTTCTTAACAGAGAACTGATACAGGCCCAAGTCCCTTTACACACAGATCCTGGCCTACAAGGCAATCCCAGTAGAACTAACACTAGTCTAATCATAGATAACACTTCCTTAGGAAGGAAACCAGGGAATTGATAATTAAGCACAGGAATGGACCTATCTATCACTTTTGTTGGCCTCGAAATTCAAGCCTAACTCTGGGTCTAACTCATCCTGGGCACCCCTGACGTACATATAGCAGTTTAATCTTGAAGATTAAAGTTATAACATGATGCCTGTGGGGAATCTTGGTGGGTGCTCAGATATCCTAGGAATAATACCCTAGCAATAATACTTTTTGAGTTGGGTAATATCCAGACCTCAGTGTAGGAAACATCCTGATATCATACTTTTGGACAGACCATGTAGACAAATCACAGGTACTCTGGCAGAGAGCGAGCTGCAGCTGTGAAGCAGTTCCAGGTACTTAGCGATGTACTAGAAAGCCAAAAATGCAGGCAAAAGTGAGTTGGCTTCCATTAACAAGGCAGCTGCAGGAAGTTGTGTGTCTGCTGGGCCCACTCAGTATCTTATTTAGCAAAGCAAACTGTTCACATTTTTTTTATAGCCCCAGACACGTAGGCAGAAGAACTGGAAGAATGCTGCATTTAGCAAACAACAGTACAATGTGTTGACATGTAAGTTCATCACTTGTGGCTAGTGGAAATTAACTTGAACTCCTTCCCATACAACGCATTGTGTAACTGGCAGTATTGGGTGTACTGGGATCAGTCTTTGATAGTAACAGCAGGATGGATGTTATTTACTGGCGCCCTCATTCAGAGCGACTGGCCCCCACTTCAACCACAGCTAAATAAGTAGCAGTCAAACTGTTGTGCCATGTCTGTCCATCCACTTCTCACCTACACGTGATGCTCAGCCTAGAGCTACTTCCTCAGTAATCACCAGCCATGAACCGCACCCATGCCAGCTCCATGCAGAAGCCAAAACTGACTGACTGTTGGCCATGTCCTTGCTGAGACATGCGTGAACAAGTAGGGACCGTGCTGCACGAGGCATTGCACGTCTAAGCAGGAGAACTGGCAGGTTCTGTGTTACTTAAGCAAATGTGATTTGTGTCAGCAATAAATTCTTCCTCCTTTTTGTAATGAGCAAGCCACAGAAATGTGTTATGTTCTTCTGTGGATGTTTTCCACGTTACAAATTTTTCCTTGAAAAGCATCTGAGGAAGTAGTCAGAATGGACATCTTGGGGACTAATGTTGAGCATTCAGATGGAGATATAAAATGAACTTGCTGTCTTCAGAAAAAAACTATTTGAAATATTTGGGATGAGCTTAAAAACAGGCCCAAATTAATACTAGTAAGAACTGTCATACTTCAAGTATATCATGATGACCTGGTCACAAATGTCTGCAAAAGGAGGATGAGGCAGCACTGCTACGATTCCACTGTACCTGCCCCCAGGCCAGTGGTGGAAGGAGGTTCATGCTAAGAGGTAGGCAGGAGCGGTCTGCTGCCAGCACATGCTTCTCAAAATCCAGTCCTGACTGGGGAATGAAGGACTGCCATCACTATATAGGGTACACTACAAATAAATGGCCCCAGCATGAATCATATGATGAATCACGGTATTAACGTGTCCTTCAGGGAACTATTCCTGCCTCTTAAAAAACCCTGCAGATTTAAAGTGAGTGGAAATTGTGCATCCATTTCTGATTTCTTTGCCTCTTCATGTGGAACCAAAATTTTATTTCTCGCTGTCTGGGAAAGATGAGCTCCCTTGGGGCTACTGCCTACCTGACTGTCCTGACGTGTCTCTTGCTGTAGGGGGTGATGACTTTGAAAAGCAGCTCCATGGCTCCATTGATGCCAAGCGTAGCTCTTGTGGTAGCTAAGCCAATAAAAAAGAAAAGCAGTCAGATCTGAAGCAGACACTCTGCAATATTGTGTTTAGGGATGAGGCAGGTAAGGGAATAGTTGCCCTTGGTTCTAGGAGCAGAATTCTCTGGGCTCCCAACTGGACTTCACAGGTCATTTTACAAACACAGAAATTGAAGCACAAAGCTGTCCGTGGACACAACCTGAGCCAAGATCAGACACAAAAACAAGCCTGCAGTTCTTTCCTCAGTCCCCCAAAGCCCCTTTTCCTATAAATATTGTACTCTTAAGAGAACAAATCATAGTTAAATAGGGTCATGTCCCAGCAAAATGACAGGGCTCAAATTCATCCCACATTTCCCACAGGCAGCTCCATGGGGACAGTTTATTTCATAGGGTATGGAGGGCAGTTTTCTCTCCGTGCTATTATTCAGCAGTATGGAAGTGAGTTTTGGAAGCAGGGGTGCTTCTGAATGCAGCTTAATTTCAGCTACGCCAATTTTACCTTTAAACCTTCACTTGCTAACATACTAGGAACTTTTATAGATAGATTTTACAATCAATTCCAAAAATGCCTGATGCATAAACTAGATGTTTTAGCCAGACCTCTCCTCTATGAGACAGGATCTGTGTGTAAAGAAGGGACAAATACAGCCCTGAAATATTAAATGCAAGTGAACAGGGTGAAAGGATCAGTAATCAACAGCAGCCAGAGGGAGACCTGGCTGCCTGCCCACTGCTGGGTTTTGACTGTTTTGTAAATATCTCCCAGTGGTCATCAGATTGCTGCCAGAGGGTCCATCATCTCCTGCAGTCCTACCATGTCCCTGCCAATTTGTCCTGTGATGGAAAGCTCTGCAAGGCTTGCCAGCTACTTTTTGCAATAGCTGGTAATTCATTAGAGACAGGCAGTGGACAAGGCTGCTTGAATTCATCCTGCCCCAGAGCGGGATGTAGGCTGCCACACGCAACTGGTGGCAGGCTGTGAAGGGAGCAACCCAGAGCAATGAGATTGTGGCAAGGACTCATCTTTTCTGCTTTCATACCTAAGCACTCTCTTAGTTTTATATGCTTCTGGATCCTGTTTAGTTCCACTCCATAAAAATAATTTTTAAGGTTGGGAGCATGTAATCTCCTAGTTTGGTACCACCTCCACACAGACCTTCACCTAACCTCTCCTGTAGCTTCCCAGCTGGGTCACACAGCCCACAGAGTCAAAGTTACTCATGGAAGGGGGAAGCACATCTGGAGAGTGCTGGACATACCTGGAGAGTAACAGAGATGCTCCAACAAAGGAGCAGAGGTGGGGTTCTGAGGTCTGACATTAGCAGAAAGGAGGCCAGGCTGCAGCTTGCATCCTAAAACCTCTGCAAAAACTGCAGCTGGACTGGGATGCAGGTGCACTGAAACAGGGAGCAGGGTAGTGTGTAGATCATCATTTTGGGTAGGAGGCAGCACAAGGTCACTACACAGCTGTGAAACCCAAATAAAGGCACGTTTCAGCTTCTGGCCTTGGCTGCATTTTCAGTCACACTCAGCCTTTCAAATACTGCTTATCGCAGGCAGAGACGTTGAATGTTGAGGCTTGGCTGCTTGCCTGAGAAAGCCCATTGCATGAAGCTAGCTCCTGTACAGATAGAAGGGACCTGCAGGGCTGGGCGCCAGGAGTGCTAAATCTTAGGATGCATATAGCAGGCTGCAGACGGGATGGCCGTCAAGAATTATCTGCTGGGTGAGGGATGTGAGGAAGGGGAGGAAAGGGTTAGAGTGAGCAAAGGGAAATTTGTGCTGACAAACTCACTGCTCTGTAGCAGGGAAAGCCTGTATGAATCTGTAATGATCCTGGGAGAGAATACTGGAAATCCCATTGCTTGAATAATTTAAAATGAGGGCACTACCAAGCAAAAAAAGCTACGAGAGTGCATGGGGAGGGATGCTAGAGAGAAGACCAGGATCTAATATGTACTTCCTGAGGGACCTTGAATGAGTAACTGACTTTTCTTTGCCTCTGTTTCTCCACCCATATTTTCCTTTCCCGTGGAGCTGGTCCGAGGATCAATATAATCAACAATAGTGAGACATTTGGCTATTATGGTAATAGCATAGAGACTTAAGGTACCTAAGTCTCAGAGCAAAGGAGTTGACTGTTTATATTCTAGAATAGGAAATTATTGCCATGAATATTTTTCACTACAGCACTTTTATTTTCAGAGTCCACAGATGAAATACACTGTAAAGGCTGTATAGGCCCCTTGGGGAGCACCTCCTTCTACAGTCGTTCTGGCTTTTGTGCCTGATTCTGTATATGCACAGTGCATGCAGGCACTAACCTTAGGGATGATGTTTCTTTGCACTGAAATGACTAAAAAAGAACTCTGGTGGTTGTTACACAGAGGGACAGAGGAAAATCCAGGCACTCACCATTAGAAGCACAAACCCGCAGGACCCAGAGGCAGTGGGTGAGGTACAGGTGGTGGCCCAGGTTTCTTCTTGCCAAGCTCAGTATTGTATCAGTTGCATCTGCCTTCTGCACTTTCAGCCCAAACTTCTGATCTGTGAAAAGCAAGAATCAAGCTATTACAAAGACCAGATCTCTGCAGCAGTGCTGATAAACATATTTTCACTAAATCTTATAACTCAAGATCTCATAACAAAAACGACTGCCTTCTACCTGTTGGGTGGAGGATGTAGGATTCCCTTGATCTTGTGTTTTTTCTGATGGGTGTTCCTGGTTCTGTCTCAGGGGGGGCAGAGCATGGTTTCCCCCAGTCTATCTCTCTTGCAAGAGCTGCCAGCTCCTGGTGGGTCTCTCCACTGCCCTGGCATTCCCCTGCCTCAGGAAACCTCCCTGTACACCAAGATATGCCACTCTGCAGCAAATTGGGCTGACAAAGAGAAATCGTATTTTAAGATTTCACGTAAGGGAAAAAAAAAAATAAAATTCTGATGGTGGGGCTTTCAGCCACAAGGGCCAACCCAAAGCAGAACATGGATGTAACGTGTCTACAGTGAATATATGTGAAACAGCTCTATGCGCTCTATGTGAAACAGCTCTATGCACATGTACGCCCTTCCTGCCTTGTTGCAGGTTCTCTGCCTGGCCAAACTGCAGACAAGCAGCACACCCCAAAAATAAACTCACAGCTGTCTATCAGGCATATCCCAGTGCTGGTTATTGCTGGGTCTGTCCATTAGCTTTGAGTGGTCCCCCCCAAGATGCCCTCCCCTCAGCAGTACCTCGCTGGCCGACCCTGGCGAGCAGGCGGAGCAGGGGCAGGAGGGTGCTGTGGTCGGGCGGCTCGGGCTGGGCAGCGGCAGTGAGAGCCTGCAGCAGCGCCTCGCTGCCCCCTTTGCTGATCATGTAGTGGATTCGCCGGCCGGTCCCTGGGGAAAAGAAGAGAGACTCTGCTCAGAGCATCCCTCAGCCACCGCTATCACAAACCCTCACCCCACACAGAGCACACAAATCTCCCATGGCTTTCCAGTGGTGTTTTATTGCTGTAAACCCAAGGGCATTTGCAGAATTGACCCAGGCCCCTGCATGGTGAAACCATGTGCTCTGCTGCCTCTTGCTCTAGCAGTCATTATCTTTACAAACCCACGTCCTGAAGAATTTTTTCACTGCGCATTGAAATGCGACAGAGAGGAATAAGCAGAGACACCAACAGGTTTCAAAGGAGCAGAAGGCTCAGTGATCTTTTCTTAGATACTAGAAATTAAACAAGCAAAGGACTAAAGCTGCAACAGGCTTCTGCCAAATGAAAAGGAATCCTAGGGAAGCTTTGGAGACAGCTTTCAAACAAATCTAGATCTCCAAAGAAACCACATGCTAATTCTGTGAGCCCTACTGTGCCAACAAACATCGATCCATGGGAGACCGGCAGCAACTTCAGGCTCCGTGGTTGGAGGAAGCCACAGATCCAGCTCCTGGAAGGAGACAGTACCTCCTGTCCTCCAGGTAGGCAAGTCTCTTATCTAGGTGAGGAACAGCACTGCAGGGCTCCGAAAGAGAGGCCCAGCTGCATGGGCTATGTCCTCAGTGGGGATCCAAGGAGTGGGGAACGCCGATGCAAGCAGCCAAGCAGCTCAACTGAGTTGAGAATTGTTTAGCAAATGCCATTTTTGAGGTGGAGAAGGAAGGAAAAGAAAATTATTTTTTCAGTTCTTTTGCCACTTCACTTATTTTTTCATATGGCTCGGACACACGCAGCAACATGCCTTCCCTGCAGCCCCGAGGTGGAGGTGCCTTTTGGGGAGATGCTGAACTCTCTCCATGAGGGAGTCCCTGGGAAGTCAGGCTCCTCTCCCTGTCTCACAGCTGCCTCTCCAGTAGCACCAGTGAACATTTCTAGTGGTTGACTGTCAGGGATTATGAAATACTTTGAAACACACAGGCACCTTTTAAACTAAAAAAAAAAAAAAAAGATACTTTCTCTGGGTCTTTTGTCTTTTTTTTTTTTTTCTTTAACTTACTGAAAAAGCTGTTTTCTGAACACAGGAGTAAGGACTGCTAATCTTAAGATAAAATTCCTGTTTTGTTCACCTTGCAAACACCTGGCCAAGTTTATAGAGGCATGAATTCCCTGACCTATTTGAGTAAGCCCTTTATGCCCCTAGCCCACGGATATTGCCCCAGAGCTTTGCTTCCTTACCCAGAGAGAGCAAGTCAGTGAGGACACTGAGAATATTCAGGATGACATCCTTGTCACAGGAGCTCTGAAATGGAAACACACCAAATTTAGGGATCAGTTGAGAGCAGTGAACTTATGCTACACAGGGCTGCATTTCATCATGTGGTGAAGAGACAATGAAATCCTTGTTTGGATACAGAGTACTTTTTGTGCCATCTGGCCAGTGAATATATGGAACCATATTGATAACACATTTTAAAAGCCTCTGACAGACATACTGATCATGCTACACAATATTTAATGCACAGTAGCATTTCTGCAGAATTCACATCTAAATTCTGAATTACATGTCTCTTTTTTGGTTTAGTCTGGCTACCTCAAAGTTGAGGAAATTCTGTATCACACGGAAATGTTAAGTGTGAGGTGGTTTTCCATGACAGGATCCCTTATTACTGGCAGTTGAAGGATACCTTTAAAATATATTAATCTCATTTACAAGAAAATTCCCCTGTCTTTGCAGCTACAACCACATATAAGCCTGGAAGATGCCCTAAGCTTATTTTTAATCAAAACCAAGTAAGCACCACACCTTGACATCAGATTTTCTGCTTTAGATTCACTTTAAATTTTGCACTAGAGGAAATAAGATATACTGTACTTGAGAAGGATGGTACACATGATATCTACCATCCGTCTGTGTGATACACTAGACCTTCTCTTTAATCCTCCTCCAACCAGATTTCACTGCTGAGACTGAAGAATTAATCACTAGTTTGTATTGTTGTGTGAGGGATTTGCGTTAAGTTCTAGATCTCTTAATTTCCATACAGATTCAATACAACACAATACAAATTGCCAATATAATAGAAAACTTGCATTTGTGTAGCCTTGATCCTGAAGAACCTCAGGATCACATAAAGAATAATGGAATCAATTTATCTCCCATTAAATTATTACAATAGAATGGTATCTTGCAAATATACGGTTCCTATATTTCTGAATGTTGGAGTGCTTCAGAAACTTAACCTACTAGTATGTATTCTGGATATTTTACCAGCCAAATTGATTCCACCATTCTCTGACATATTTAACATTATGCAACTGAATATTTAAGACAAGTAATTGAGAAGTAACACCTAGTAAAAAGAAACTCTAGAAAAGAATATTAGAGAAAACTAATTCAGATCTGTAACGATGACTATTAATGCAAACTGACTTTTTTTTTTTTTTTTTTTCCCCAGTGGATCCCTGCTGAAGTCACAGCACAAGCTGACACAGTGCTGGGGATTGTGTAGATAATTAGGGAGCTGCATATGATAGCTCCTCCTCCTTTGTTAAAGTTGGGGAGGGTATGCATTGGGTGAGACATGGAAATGAAGCAGGAAAATTGTCAGTCTTCCCAGTCAGGGCAGGTGACTGTCAGCCTGGAGAATCACGTTTCCACCTCTGTTGAAGGACTCACATAGGATGCTTGGCAGGTCCCTTAAACCAAATGTCTTCTGTATTGGCAAATTACATGTGCTGTCTTCTGTATGCAGTATCTATATTAGTGTTTCCTAACTTCTGTATCCTTAACATTATGTATTCTTAGATATTTTTTTTTAAACATAATTATTAACAAAAACAAACTCCAAATCTCTGAAAACCAAAATTCCCCTTATACTGGTTTTGGCCAATTACCAGTGCTACAAAAACTGCTCAATGCATATTTCATACTGGCATGAGTGAGCAACAGGGACAAGAATATCAGCAGGGGAGTGAGACAAAAGCACAAGTATGTGGTCAGGGGAAGGGGAAGGAAGAAAGAGGAGTCAGGCGAGGTGAAAGACTGGAGCAAATGGCAAGGAATCACTTCTGGAGCAGGGGACTCAGGGCAGGAGTGTCTCTGAGCACTGCCACCTTTCTAAAGACTCACCTTACTTCTGTTGTTAGCTAAAATCCACAGAAAGAGTGCATATCTCATCCCCATCTTAGAGCTGGCCTACACCCAGAGCAAGAGCCTGAGGTTTCTATTCATTACTACATTAACTTGACAGGCAGAGGTCTCTGCAGTGGACATAAAATTTCAGCCCTTTCATGAACCATGTTGAAATCAAAAGGCTCAGTATGATAGGATTACTGCTTCTTTCAAAGACAAGACAAACAGCATACGTGGCTTTAACGGAATCCATCAACTTTCAGTTCACCAAGTATTGCCACCCTCACCCCTTAGAGAAGGGGTCCAAATGCATGTTACTGGCTCAAGGGAGCACACGGAGAGGGGAGTCTGCGGCAGGGTCAGAGCAGTTCTGAATTGCTTCCCATAACACATATAGATTTAGTCATATGTTAATCTTTCTAATTAATTTCTTTGTTCATTAGTCTACAGTCCTGAGCTGTCTCAAGTCTCCCAGAGCAAAGAAAGAGCAATCAGAACTCTCTTCCCAAGAGTTTCTTGGCATTTTTTAGCATAGGGACAGACCTAATAGTCTGGGGCAGGCTGTCAGGAGTGATGAGTATCCACCAAACTTATTCACTACAGAAGTTACTATTCTCAGCACCTTTTTAAATACCAGGGTTGCCTAAATCAGACTGTCCTCTGGTTTTGTCTTGCTGCCTCTCAGTATCCCTTTCCTCTGTAGGTGGATGGATTACACATTAAGGTTTCAGTAATGAAGTCTTCATTGATTTATGCTCCTATTACACTGGGTTGTTTATTTTAACTGATTGGATTGTGGGTTTCCTAAGCCATTAACACAAATAGTGATGACATAAGATATCCTCTGACTTTCCATGCACTTTATCCAGGGACTCAAGCGAACAAAGAACTTGAGGGGACATGAAAGATCAACCTTCAAAATGTGCAAATGAGAGCTGGGTTGTATTGTCAAATATTTTACCTGAGTATTTACTCTTGATATTTTAACAGTAAAACTCTGACTGCATCTGAGCTTAACACTAAAACTTCCTCCAGTGCACTAGTAAGGGAATAGGATGACTTGTGCATTTGCTAGAATGGTGGATAAAATCCTGATGCCATTACAACGTCTGACATATTTCCCACTAGCTTAAGTGGCACCACTGAATAATACAGAATACTGTGTAAGAACACAGCTGCAATTTATAATAGCAAGACAACACAGAAAAAACAACCCTAAAGTTTCTGTTGTCTTGCAAGCTGGCAACTTGACTGTTGGAAAGAAACAGCTCAGATTTTTACTAATTAGCTTGAGATTTTCAGCCATCAAAGATATTTGGACCTTGAAATCTATTAGAATCAATTGTTTAAATTAATACTCATAACAAAGTGTTTATGGATGAATTGCTAACAAATTCATTCATAAAAATATACTCAGTAAATTTTTTGAACAGTAAGTACAAATGAGAAAATCACAATTTGTGCCTGATCTAAAAAAGATGAATGGAGTAATTTCTTTAATGCAAATTACTTACCCAGCTCTGGTTTAAATAAACACATTAGTTATTTTTATTGAAAGATATGTTTGACGGTTCAAGAAGAAACCATAAGAAAAGAGAGGAGAGAAGTAAAATTCCTCTTGCTGAATATTTTCCATTCCTGCCAGCACTTATGAATGTTAGATACATCTATATGCACACAGACTAACGAAGATGCATTCATGGTATATGGGTGGAATGATAGCAGAGGAAAGTCCCAGAGACTCAAGTTAGTTTACAAAATCACCAACCTCCTGCAGGATTTCAGCGAACGGATTTAGAGACAAATTGTCACCTATTAACAATATTCTGTAGCTGCCTTTCATGGCTTGAAGCTGGACAAAGGCTAAAGTAGCAACATCTCCACTTAAAATATCAAGCGTGGCGGTACTTTTTGGCCAGAGCCCCTCATCTTAGCCTTACTTCAGAAAAGCCTGCTGTCTTTGTCACCCAACCAGGAGTATCACAGGACTGAGTTCAGATGAATTTAATCAGCTCCCAGCTGATAGTTCCTCTCTGAGCTTTTTCTGGGAATTAATCCCTGAAACACAGAGCTTTGGTTAGCTTGGATGAAGTTCCTCATAGATAAACAGCAGGAGGACAGAGAAAGCCAGGAATAAAAAAATACCCCAGTGCATAGTCATTGATACATTACAGGCAGCAAGTGATTAGTTAGTGACATTGGGTTTGGAGGACAACAGCTTGATCCCAAGATCCCTCTGACTGGCAGCTCAGGCTATTTTGCTGACCCACGATTAAGCAGGGAAGGAATTCCTGTCTCCTTGTCCTGCTCCTGGGAACACGCCAAGACAAGCTGTTATTTTCTCAAGACGAGATCATAAAATTGCAACTAAGACGCAGTAACAGGTAATTTTGCTTCATCGGGGAAGTGTCCTGGGATGTTTTCCTCAAGACTTGAAGACCCAACAGAGGTGGGATTTTCCCTGTCCCACCTGAAGGACAACAGCTATCAGTGCAGTTCTCCTTTTAACGCTGACTTAAAAAGAAGACTTCTGGTAAACTCAGTCTTTTGTGTAGCTCTCGGGCTTTCAAGTCTTTTGCTGAGGGCAAGTATTTCTCCAGATGAGACATGCAAACTACTGAGAGTGTTTGCTGTGAGTCTGAGCATTAGTGCTGAAAAAAGGAGGATGCCCAGAAAGAAATCGTATAGTATTAATTTGTACATTTTACTAATAAATATTTTATTTGGAGAAAGAAAAAGGAAGCTGTTATTCCACTCACAAAAATAATAAATGCAAAATTAAAGAAGTCACTCCTTCAAGACAATGCATAACATCATTTCTACCAATAATCCTATTAAATTAATTGTTGAGTATAGTCTCACAAAGCTGTATAATTGCTTAAGAAAAAAAAAATAAACAAACCGGCCTGTTTTTAAAGAAAAGCTATTGCTGCACTGGGCTAACAAACTTCCAGACCTGTTCTTTTTAAGAGAGACCAAGGAATAGGATGTCCAGTTCCAGGGGTTTTTTGTTTGTTTGTTTGTTTGTTTTTCTGTCTGTTTGTTTGGTTGGTTTTAAATAGCCTGTTTCTAAATAGAGAAGTGGGATTTGACATGTTCAAAATACATCCTTCTTTCTTCTCTTACCCTTAATAAATTTGCTCACACAAATAGCAGCAGTCAGAAGC